TTTATATGATGTACTTTGATTTGGCACAAACTTTAAGAAAAATGGAAAGACTTTTAAAACTTGTGGTCCAAAATGAATGATAGAAATTTGTGTGGTTGTAAATCATTTCATTAAGGGTAAAAAAGACATTTTATAGGCAAATTGTTACTTAAAATAGAAATGTGTCATTCTTTTTGGGACTGACTAAAAAGGAAAGTAAGTCATATAAATTGGGACAGAGGGAGTAATATTTTACCGTCTAGTGATATCGATGAAAGTCTTTGACCTAAATGAGGAATTAATTAATTCATCAAAATTTAATCTATCAATTCTTTTATTACTTGTTGTATTCTTTACTTCGAATGTTTTTTTATCATTTACTGTTGTTACTGTTCTTGTTTACTCTGTTTTTTTTCACGTGGCTTCTTTATTGCAGTATTTCTTTTCAATATTTGATGTTGATATGTAATACTTGAGTTGAGGATCTATTTAAAACAATCTATTTGCCTTCGTATGATAGTGTGACTATATATCCCCCCGTAGACACACATTGACTAATTTAAGGTCTTATTATCCCTCAATTTTTATTTTATTTTTGTAATTTTATACATCTTTTGGTTTACGTGGCACATTGAGTGACTCCACATAGTTGAGTCGCGAGGGAGATGTTTGGATGCCACTTAAGCCAAAAAAAAAAGTGAACAAATTACACAAAATGGGTTCGGGGTAATAAGACTTTAGCTCAATTAAAATGTATCAGTATCTCTGATATTTCGGTCATAGTCTATGAAATACTTGTGTATTATTCCTATATATTTAAATATTCAAAATTGGTGTTGGAAGTAAGGAAGAATACAAATGTACCCAATAGTACAAAGAAAGAAAAAAAAACAAATAAAAGTTAAAAAAAAGGAAAAAGTACAAATGTTAAGATGGGCCCAAGGAGTTTTAATGGAGAAAGCCCATTCGTTTAATGGTCCATAGTAAGGACTAAGGAGGTGGGCCAAAAGTAACTATTAAAGTACTGGTCCAACATTATTTTGTTTATTATATTTTGCAAAAATGGTCAAATCATTTCATGTCATCAATAAGTAACATAATATCTAATATAATTAATAGACATTTCAATGCCATGCGATTTCAATCATGATATGAAATTATAAGATTAAATCAGCCTTTGAACATGTGATTTTACGCTGATTTCATCTAATTATTTCATATTATAAGATAAAATCACAAATTCTCCAAAAAAAGGTTTTTCAAATACAAAAATTAACTCACGTTTATATGTACTAACCATTTATTTCAGATGTAAATAAAATTTAGCTTTTGGTGTTCTATGATTCACCTCCAAATAATTAGTAGGTAGTTCGATCCTTCTTATTTCAAAACACTGTATATGGATAGTATGAACGGCCTAAACAAGAATTCTTAACAACGAACAATCAATTCAGATATTCACGACCAAGAGAAATAGTAAAAAAAATATTTTATCTTGGATCTTGGGTGGATAGCGATATCTAAGTCCAATCTACGATAGAAGAGAAGGTTCCATCAGAAAAAAATTATTTATTTCAGTTAAGGTACAATTCATATAATTATTTTTTAAACCATTTATATCTCATATAACGATTATTATCATCAACATAAAAAATTTATTATTTCAAATCAACTTCTACTTTACCATTTATATTTTCCAAATTCATTATTTATTTAATCAAATTTATTTTCCAACCAGATTTATTACTACTTCATTCAATTAAAAGTTTAGTAAAAATATAATTTCCCATCGTTATATTGACTGGACAAGTTGACTGACCACCGGGACATTAATTGATAAAAAATAATTTTCTTAACTTGATCAATAAATGTTCAATTTTATTTTTTTATTAAATTAAAATTTAATCAATAAATATTCAATTTGTTTTAATTGATTTAAAATTTGATTAATAAATATTATCTTTTTTTTAGAATGACTTTGTGATAGTGTACTATGCGATTTTATAAACTTTTGCTTATTCGGTAAGATTGAATAAATACCTCGTTTCTATGTTTACGAGAAAACATACAACATAAAAGTCCTAATTGCATGTCCAAACAAAATTTCAACTTTATCTCACAATTTCATATCTTAATTTTATAACATGATTTCATATCGTATGACCAAACATATTATTCCAATCTTGAGGATAAAACGACTAATAAATAATCACTCTGTAATCGAAAAAATGTTCTTGATTTAAAATTGTGATTAATCATGTCCCCGTCGTTACAAAATTGAAAATTGGCACATATGTGAATTATGAAATCATAAATTCTTCCAAATCTCACTTCAATAGCAACATACATAGTCACTGGTGAACTATAATTTACAATAACTTCTGCTCACTCTAGTAACTATATGTTGCATACAATTTATGTTGACTTTTGACTTAAGAAATTAAAATTAAAAAAAGATAAAAAAGGGAAAATTTGGATGTGGGAGTAAAAAATAAATGAAGTATAATCATAATTTTTTGTATAATCGTGATGTCCGGACGATGATATTTGGTATCTCCCAGCAGCATAAGTATTCGATAACTCTGTCCATAGACTACCTTTCTAATTCTTGTTTACAAAGAGGACAACAAGAAATAATTTTGAGCCATTGATCAACACAATTGAGATGGAATATATGAGAACAAGGCAACTCTCTGATTTCTTCTTTCTCTTTGTACTTTGCCAAACAAATACAACATTCCTGTCATGCCACAAACATACGGTCAAATTCCACGTATAGTCACTAAACTTTATTTACTATATCTGAAACAGACTAAACAGAAAGTAAGACAAACAAATTGAAACGAATGAAGCATTTTGTAATTCAATAGATCACTTACATCACAACTTGTAATCTCCTCTTTATTTCCAATTTCTTTGTACTTCCAACTAGGCAAATTGGAGAGTTGTTCATCAGTTGCACCTCTATCTACTGATCCCATATTCATATTGTAGCCAAGAAAGTTACTCAAAATTGGCACACAACAACACAACAACACAAATAATATGAAGGGAAAAGAGTATGTGACAGCATTCCAAGCTAATAGTGATATGCAAAGAACATGAAGTTTAGGAGCATTATGAAATGATCCAAATCTTGAATCAAATACCCAAACATTCCCCATCACAAACCATATAGCAAAGAAGAACTCTATCCATGTCCTACATCTCTCCATCCGAGACGGTAACTCCCTGAAAAAAGAATTTTTACACTATCAGACCACCTGAAAGATAACAGTTCTATATTGTCAGTGTATATAAGTTACCTTGATTCGTCGTGGCTTATTTGCTGCTCAAGATCAGTATCATCTGTTTGGCTCACATATAATGTCCAATATCTCCAATAAAGCAGAATCAAACTAATGACACAACCAAAACCATATCCAAATACCCAAATCCTCATTGGCCAAACAGGCCTTTCCTCTTTTGTAACAACCAATGTAATTGTTGTAACAATTATTTGAACACTTAAAGCTATACACTCCATAATCATCCAAGTCACAGAATTGAAGGGATTTGAGCCAAGTTCTGATCTTGAACCATTTTGGTAATGAAATACCCTTCTCAAGAAACTAAAACATCTTGATCTTGATATTCGAATTGCCATTCTTACCAAGAATGAAGACGAAGACGAAGAAGAAGAAGAGGAAGGGGGTGTTCTTCTTACATCAAGATTCATTCTTTCTGGACCAATAATCCTAGAATTACACAATGAGTCTGTTGTAATAAAGTAACGGCTACTCATGATTCGAAATGATGACACAAGATTTTTGTCAATAGTGAGAAATTTCTAAAAACTTTCAACTTTGTAGTAACATATCATTACTTACATAAGCAATAATACCTTCGAATTATAAGGCGTGCTAGCCTGCCCCTTTTGGTAATGATTTACTATACTGAGCCCTCTGCTCCACGTATCTAATAAGCTCGTATGGTTCACTATTTATATCGACTAGACCAAAAGAGTGATATAATCGATACAGATAAAGTTTTTTGCATGCCAAATTTCAAGAATCTCAACAGATAAAAGTTCCCACCTTTTTAAGTGAATAAAAGGTATCTACGAGTCCTCTGCCCCACACGTATCTAACCAGCTCACGATTCGCCAAAAGAGTGATTAAGTCGATACAAAGGTGCACTAGCAAACAATTCAACCTATTTCATAAACTCAAGTTTCAATCTTTAAAAATGTTTTTTCTAATAACTGCAAAATTTCAACAAAAAAGGTGAAACAGAGGAATCAAGAAAAGGTTGGATTAAGCAAAGGGGTTACTACGAGCCCTCTGCCCCACGTATCTAACTAGCTCGTGTGGTTCACCACCACTAACACCAAAAGAGTTGATCAATCAAAGGGGTACTACGAGCCCTTTGCTCCACGTATCTATCTAACTAGCTCGTATGACTCACAACTACTAACACCAAAAAGAGTGATTCAGTCAATACAAAGTCGTACAACAAAAAAGTTCCCACCTTTAAGAATTTAAACAAGACAAGAATTCAGAATACAAAACAAGAGAAATGAAAGTGAGAATAAAAAGGGAAAAAAATAAAACAAGAAGAGAAAAATAGGTTAATGGAGTTGAACAAACATGACATAAGGAAGGTAAAGATTGGTTTCAAGATGGTGACCAAGAATCAAACAGACACCTTTTTTTTTTTTTTTTTTTTTTTTTTTTTTTTTTTAAAGTGAATATTTTTAAAGAAGTATAATAACTGTTGGCCTAACTTATTCAGAAGATTTTGGCTTTTTTTTTTTTGTTTATTTAAGAAGAAGCAAAGTATGAAAGATAAAAGCAAATGTGGGGTTCTTGAAAAATACATTACTCTTAATTTTTGTGATGTTAACTTTGAGTCAATCCAATTTTTTTGATACAAATGTTAAGATAATGTATTATTTTTATTTATTTGTATAAATAAGTAATTAATTTTTTTGAAAAGTGGCGGGTACAGTAGTTAATCGGTTGCTGAGGATAGCAGTTGGCCACCTAATCAAAAACCAGAAGTACAAGCAACTTTAGTCATTGTATTGTGTAGCGTATTCGATGCGAAGTCAGAATTTTAATTTGAAAAAATGGTTTGATATATTCTTCGAACTGATATATCTTTATCATAAAAGTGGTTCGTTATAAAAGTGATTCACAAAAATGACTTATATATGCTCTTTTCATCTAATAATTGTGGAAACATAAAATTTTACATTTTAAAAAATTACCCATATTATTATTTATATATACTATGCTTTACGTTGAAAAATACAAAATTCAGATGAACCGGATAATTCTATCAACACGACTCTCTTTGCGTCTCCTACCAACTTACCAAGAGAACGTGTGGTTTAATATTAGTGGTCAGCCACTGTCAGGGCTGGTGCCTTTGATTTTGTACAAAATAAAATAATACTATACTTTTGATTAAGACCTTTTGTTTTCATTTACTTAATTTTAAGCTATATAAGTGCATCGAATTTCAGTAATTTTAGGTCAAATTTTATATTTATATTAAAAATTTACTAGTTATGTATAAAAATTAAATTTGAAATTCAGTTAATGACATTTGATATCGCTATCTTGAAATTTTAAGCTCATAAAATTTAAATTTTGACTTTGTCTCTAACTTTAGTCTATCTTTTTGTATTTATATATTTTGGATTTTGAAAAATCTGAAAACTTAAGTTTATCCACTACTCAAATATATCGCTTCTTGCTAGTCCATGTATATTAAAAATAAATCTTACATGTCTTCTTATTTTTATTTTTTTAAGATTTAATTTTATTCTTATCATTAAGTAATTATTAGAATATTAGTGGTTAAATTTACATTTTCAAACATCATTAATATGGGCAACTTAAGAGAAGCGCAAAATCGATATTGTATTAGTAAAAAAATAAATAACTAAAGTTGATTAAGTAACTATTTATTTATCAGAAATCATATGAGATTTGAGTTTTTTGAGTTCAAAACTTTAGAAAAATAATTTCAAGTCTCAGTTAATCAAAATTTAATATTAATATATATTTAGCAAATTTAATATGTATGTATATAAAATTTGAAACTAAAATTATTAAATACGATCGAATCCGTACGAAACAACCAAGGCCTCTTGTGTCATTGGCATCAATGGATATGGATTGTCATTGTTACATAACTTCTCCAACTAATAATTGTGACTAAGAACAAAAATCATAAAAATCTTGAATTGTGGGTCTCTATTTTTAGATATTTTTCCATTTCTAAGTTGTTGCCTTGTTGGCTTAGCATACTTTGCTCCTAATCGACCTTTATTAGTGAACGTATAGTGAATTAACGATTTAAAATTCATCTTATTTTCTGTCATAATCTACACTTATATGTTCAAATGGTCATTTGTCATTAGGTTGAATCACTCGATCAAATTTAATCAATTTATGCAAATGAGTATATATTCTTGATAAATTCGAATCAAAATATATGTAAACATATAGATAGGAATGTCGATCAGATCAGACATAATTAGAAAGGATTTTTTTAAAATTTCTTTTTATAAAAGTTAATTGAATAATGCATGATTTGGACCCCACATATTATAAATTGTGAAATATTTGGCGGCGCATATTCTTTATCCCCAAGCGCATAGGCGGTGCGTCTTCCCCAAACAATCCGGTGTGAATCGGGTCGAACCAAAACCCGAACCTTCCAGCTCCGATCATCTCTCCAATTCCGCCGGCAATTTCCATCACTCGTTAAGGTAATTGAAAATCCGATTTCGAATTTCGAAATTAGGGCTCGAAATGAATTTTTGTTTTCTAGGGTTCTTAGTGATTATTTTAACCTAATTTGATTGTTTGTTTGTTGATGTTTACATTCATGAAAGAAAATTTGGATTTCTGAGTAAAGAAGTTACTTTTTATCACAGAGAATTTTGAAGTATGACAACTGCTGCTAGACCTACATGGGCACCAGCTAAAGGAGGGAATGAACAAGGTGGAACTAGAATTTTTGGTCCATCTCAGAAGTATTCTTCAAGAGACATTGCAGCTCACACTACTTTAAAGCCCAGGCAAGTAATTTGAAATATTGCTTCTTTTTTATTACTACTTCCGTGTTTCAATCTGTTTGTATGATTTTTGACTTAACACGGAATTTACTGAGTCTAAAGATGGGATTTTTGTGGCTCAACTTACCTGGCTCGAACCTGCATTCCTTTTCGGTTATTGAGTCTGTAGATGTATGATCTTATTTTGCATTCAGGTGAAGTGAAGTGGCTTATGCTCATTTTTTTTAGAAGGGTAAATATAAGTGAAGTAGATTATGTTAAAGCGGAACTAAGCCCAATTGGAAGGTTATGTTGAATATAATTGAGGCTTATAATGATAATATGGTCAGTAGTTCCGCTTGTTATATTTATTGTCTCCTCCTATAGTTGTAGTCCAACAGACATGGTTTCCCCATAGAATTACCTGGGAAGTTCTGTTTAGTCAATCTTCTTAATAGAAAGGCGTTGCACATTTATGATACGACTAAAGATATGCAGTTTTATTTTCTACTCTGTATGGGTAATATGGTAAGTTGTTCTTAATTTGAGTTGTTGTAAATAAATGCGTCAATAGTATGTCAAGGATCAATTTATCAAAACGATAGCATGGCAAGGAACTGTGTGTATCACGAATGCTATAATTAGAAAATGTTGTATAGTGTGACATATCCTATGTCCATTTTATCTACTTATTGCAGTTCATGGTATGAATGTAGGTTATTGTAGATTCTAAGTGAGTTTAGTTCGTGTCACTTACGAGTAGAAACAGTTCTGATCCAAGTTGATTTGAGGGCTGAATTGATATATTTGCGTGAGAAATAGGGTGGATGATGTATGCTGTAATTTGTCCAACTGGTTGATGAACTTGAATTGGTCGTATTCCTGGCACATGGAATTTTAGACAGTTTATTTTTTTAACTCAATGGGTTTGTCATTAAGGTAACATAAGTTGGTTGTCCTCCTAATTGTATCATGAATCTGAATTGAACTCGATACTGTTATCATGCACATTACACACAAGGCGTTTCTCTATTTCCATTAATGATTCTGCCCGAGTTGCGTAAATTGATTGTCCTCTAAATTCTATCATGATTCCAAATCTCTACTTCCATCGTTGTGTATGATTCAGAAAGGAGGGACAGGACACTCAGGATGAGTTGCATAAGAGAAATCTCCGGGAAGAGTTGGAGGACCGTGAGCGGAGACATTTTTCTTCAAAAGACAACAGCTACGGTATGTGAAATGTGAACAGACTCTCTCCCTCCCTGCCTACCTCCTGCACACACGTATGGACTCATATCAAATTCCTATCTGATTTTGTTCAACTCATAAACTTATACTATGTATTGTTGCAGAGGACAGAGATTGTAGAAAGAGTGGTCAACTGCTTTTAGATGGTGAGTGCTGTTTGTTCAATAGACTAGTCTAGAATTTCAACAAGATATTCATCATGTTTCCACTATTATATGATATTCTGCTGCAGGTGCTAAAAGAGAGATTGAAGACCGCATTGTTCCACGCAGCGCTGATGCTGATGATGATGCAGACACCAAAAGTGACGATGAGAGGTTTGTACCTTGTTCCCCATTTGTACAAAAATGCTTTTAGTAAGCTCCTATTTGTGCAAACGTTGGAATGCTTGATAGTTTTTCATTGATAAATAAGGGATGTTGGACATTTGTTTTTTGTTGTATGATGAAAATTTGTTGCAGAATGCATGTACTTAATATTTTCAGTTCATCGCTGATATTTTTCCACCCTTACTGCAGCTTTGCATTAAGACTGTATTATTTTGTTACTTCAAAACCTTATAAGTTGTTTACGCTGATTTTAGTGAGGACGATGACGATGATGATGATGAAGATGATACAGAGGCTCTACTGGCAGAGCTTGAACAGATAAAGAAGGAAAAAGCAGAGGAGAAACTCCGAAAAGTATGTATTACTAAATGCTCGATAGTTTCTTTGCCAATTTGTTATGTGGGTCCTTCAAATTTCTTGTTTCTTAAACTGCATTTCCTGAGGTTAATATTGGCGGTATTCCTTCTCCATGCGAATAGCTTCTAGAACTGTGTAAAATTTCCATTTAGAGCTGTAGACAGAAGGGAGTACCAATCGACAATCGTCATATTCATCTGATGATGTGAATACCAACAATCAACACTGCTATGAACTCAAAGTTGTGTGATTTTGGCAGGAACGACAAGAGCAAGAGGAGGAGCTTAAAGTAAAGGAAGCAGAATTGTTGAAGGGAAACCCTCTTATAAACCAGCCAACGTCTTTCAGTGTGAAGAGAAGGTTAATCCCTTAAGACATGGCTTCTTTTAAGATTCTTTAGCTTTACTTCTGTGTAAAATTTACCACATTTGTCTTTGATTTGTTTCTCTCTAGGTGGGATGATGATGTGGTCTTCAAGAATCAGGCTCGCGGGGAACTGAAGGTAGCCAAGCGCTTTATTAATGACACCATCCGGAATGACTTCCACAGGAAGTTTCTCCACAAATACATGAAATGATAATAGGATTTTGATGTGAAAAAAAGAAGCAAGCAACAAACATTAGTGCCTAGTGGATTGTTTTTTGTTTCAGTTATGTTTCTCAAATGTCTACATCACCCTGGTATAACATTCAAGCATCACTGTAATATTGTCATTCTTAAACTAGCTATGGAAATACATTTCTGTTTTTTATTATGTTCTCATCTCTTACAGTTTGAACTGATTAGCAGAAAAGCAAAAAAAAGAGAAGGAAGGCCAAATACAATAGACAGGTGAGAGTTGTACCTACTAAACACTTATATTCAAACTGTGTTATTTGAACACATATTTCGTAATTCTAAACTTAGTTTAATGCTTGAATGCCACTGGCTCTGATGTAGCACGAGCGACCAATGAGAAAATGCCACATCACAAAAGGAAAAATGTCAAAACTGAAAAAACTTTATTTCACATTTTAAAATCCTATTTGGTTTGTTGGTTCTTATGAATAAATAAAATATTGTTGGTCATAACATTTTAAGAGAAAAAAAAGGCAGTTTGGTGCACGAAGCATTTCACATTCACGTAGGTAAGGGCTGCACCCCTGAGAGAAGGAAAAGGATCTGTCAAAACAATTCTATTTCTCTTCAAAAGATCAAAGATTTTACAAAGAAGATACAATATACAATTGTATGCTCCAATTTTAATAATTTACCAAACTTCTGCACACTATAAACAGCTTTTTCTGAGAAGAAAAAAAAATCCTCAAACACAGGTAGAAAACAAACAACAGTTGACTGGGAGAAAAAAAAATTCACTTCATCTTGCAATGCTTTTCCATCAAAGAAAGTAATAGGGGGTTCTTTTCAATGTCTTCAAAGGTTAAGGCATTGCAAACACAGATTTGTTCTACTTATTCCTTCTGTTCTTCCAATACAAACTCAACATACAAATCTTTAATCGCGATCACAACAGTAGTTATCAGTGGTCCCATTATTGCTCCCTGCGCAACATAAACACACAATTAATATCAAAGATGCAACCTTTATGGTAATGAAATCATCTCAAGTGAAAGAGATAATGGTCAAAAACACATATGAACTATCCTTGTTTTTACGAAACCACACCCCAACTACTAGTTGTTCCCTTTTCCTACAAAGAACTATGAACATCTATGTATTTTTCAGGTCCTACTCAAGTCATCAAGTGACATATAAAGCAAAGAGACATCTTTATACATGCGAAAAGATGACAAAGGAAACAACTGATAATTGGCCTAATCAGTCATGTTTTAATACATAATGTTGATAGTTCAGGTAGGAAAAGGAAGCAATTGATAGTTGGGGTGTGGAACTCACAAAAAAGTAATAGTTCAGGTGTGTTTTTGACTATTAACTCCAAGTGAAATAAAGAGAGTCTAGTTCCAAGACCATCATGATCTAGACAATAACTGGAGTTAAGAATAAGGTTGAAAGGGAAGGCACTCATAGCTTCTTTCCACAATAGAATTATCGTCTTTCCTGTCATGTTGTTTCGTGTGACAATCATAAGGACTAAAAAGTTCACATTTTTCTGTCTTATATTGGTGATATCTTAATAGCTGATGTATAGCAGTTGCAAATTCTCCATGTTCACTTCGTTCTTCATACTCAACAAGAAGACAACATGACAGGTAACATAAGTAATGCAAGAAAGTCAGAATGGAAATTCAAGAGGGAGTATTGTTTGTGATTACCTCAAATGCAGAAGGGAACAATGTCATTCCTCCAATAATGCTGAGACCAGTGAGATACGCGTTATAGCCAGGTATATCTTCCATAATTTCGGATGTACCATAGTCCATAAGTATGAGATGTATAATCGATAAGCTGATGGCCAATACATACTGACCTTCAAGCACCAACTGTAAAGCAGCTGGGATGGTTGAAAACAGTGATGGGAAAATAGGAAACAAAGGACTAAGAAATGCGAGGATTGTTGACATGTACAAAAAATGGATGGAGAATAATCTGAACAAGAGCCAAGTTAGACACCCCTGAAAGAGTGCAATCTCAGCAGTTGCTAGAAGAACCCCAGAAATAGCTTTGTCAAGAACCTCAACACTTCGCCTCCTTGCGGAATGTGACATAGGGAGCATAGACATGACCTGTTCTGTTACTCCACCAGAATCCGATGTGATGAGATAATAAAGTACCCAAATGAATACCATTAGCTGAGATACAAAATTAAAAAGACCAGCAGCACCCGAAACTATGGAATTCCCAATCAAGAACACGACCTTCATGCTTCCACCTAAAACAGATGTGCTACTAACCAGTATCCGTTGCATTACATTTACTCCTTGGAGAGCGAACCCTTTGGCTTTCTCAACCAAGTCCTCTCTAGTGATCAGAAGTTCCCTGAACATCACATCTACTTCTGCATATATTTGTGCCCATTCACGATCTTTAACCCTCCTTTTCAGGCTTAAGAATTTCTCTGCATAAGGAGAGGGGGATGCCAAAGCCGTGGATTGATTAAATGTGTTATTTGCAGGAACTATTACAAAATGTTTTATCCCAGAAACAAACTCCGTCATATTATATTGCATAGCATAACCATCTATCTGGGTAAATACTGTCTCATACACTTGAGATGTGTACTTATCCACCATCCCGGGGACATCATTTTCGTCCATCCACTGCTTAACACCGATTTTCTCAGCATAGTTACTCTCCTCTACATGGGATTTCAATGCAATAACAGCATCTTTCCCCTCCATACCAATCTTATACGAGAAGAAAATCATACCTGCCAAAGAACCCACACTCAATCCAACAATCAACCCAATTGCCACAATTGTCTTCAACTTCTTCAATATCCCTCTAGTAAAGAAAGCAGTAATAGCGAACCTACGAAAGCTATGACTTCTTAAAGATGTTACTGCATTCATAGTTGAATCCACACTATTAGCAGTCAACATAAATCCCAATGCAAGAAGTGCAACTGATCCAATCCCACCAATCTGCTCATAAGCAATCACAAACACCCCAAAAGACATAAGCCACCTCAACAACACGAAAAATCCACTCGTATGACGCCTCGTCGAGTTACCTTTAGGCCTCCTAAGAACAACCCTAGAAATCTTCTCTTTAATATCAACAAGGGTCCCTAGAAAAACACTGAAAACAGCTACAGGGACAGCTAAAATAGTCTCAGTAAGACCTAACTTTAAAGGTTCAGACCAAAATGCAACAAGGGTTTGTTGAATTCCCCTTAATGGAATTGAACAAAGCACAGCCCATAACATAGCTCTCAAATACTCTTCAAGCAATTTACCAACACCATAAATAATGAAAAATGTGAATACAAGTCCAGCATGAGCCATAGCTATATAAAGGGCTAGTCTCACCTGAGGGTCAGCAGACACTGAATCTTGATTTGGGTCATTTTCTTTTCTTGGCTGAGCCTCTGAAGGAACCTTGTTCTGGGGTTTTGGTTCTTCTGGTTTCCTCATTGAAGCTGATCTAAACATATCTTGCCAAGGTGGATTAACAACACTTGATTCAGATTTTGGGTCTGAATAAGGTATCAGCTCCATTAATTTCTGATAAAGATTGTTTTTTTTTTCCCTCAGAAAACTCAAAAGACTCAATCTTTATGACTATGCTTCTTCAAAAATGGGAAAATTCTTAAGATTGACTTTCTTGATTCACCATTAATGGTGACTTTAAGTTTTACAGTAAGATTTTTTTAAGGGAATTTGCAGGGTTGAGGGTATTTTTGGACTAAGCTGACACAAGAAGAATTTGTCAGATTTGTGAATCCCCAATGGGAATTTTTTTGGAGGACTTATTATTACTGATTCATAGACTCAATATGAAAGATGTCTTTATTAGTATCCACAACTTCAACTGATCCCAAAACAATTCAATGATTTGAGGACCACTTAGTTTTTTTTTTAGTCACATGGTACTTTACTGTTTCCTTGACAATGACAGTTTTACCCTTTGTTCAATTCCTCATCTAAGGTTATTTTTGTCTTTTAATATTGTTTGATACTCCTCTCGTTTTGATTTGTATGTCAGGTTTTGACTCAACACGTGTAGTCTTTGGCTTTTCGTATACGATATCATCTATGATTTATTGTGTTTAGATGACCACATCTTGTTGTTGTTGTTGTTGTTTTTGTTATGATTCCTTAGGTGACTGACTGACCACATCTTGTTGTTGTTGTTGTGATTACCTGCATATATACTCCGCTTCTTTACTATTACTTGTCATGTTTCTCTCTACTATTGTTTTTCTTTTAATGATTGTTTTGATTTGCTTGAGTCGGGACTCTTTTGAAAATAATCTCTCTACCTTGAAGAGTTTGTGGTAAGGATTTGCCTATACTTTAACCTTTCCAAAATCAACTTTGTGAGATTTCATTGGATATGTTATTGTTGTTCCTGATTTTGAGTTGACAACTTAAACTAAAGATACATTAAATATACTAATATATTTTGAATCTTAAATATATTATGTGAATAGTTGAAATTAGAAATTTATTGATTAAGAATAAAAATATTTCTTTTTTTAAATAGACTAAAAAAAGTAATAGCTATAGATTTTACCCTATGACTAAAGCATTCTTTAGGACTTGAATTTGCCAATGATGTTCTTCCTTCCAAATATGTCCCTAGAGATATTTGCAATAATAATTATTCCATTTTTTACCCTTTTGATAATAAATAAAATAAAGTAGTAAAAATTTAAAAGGGGCTATTTATATAATGATGATAACTAGAGGGGTCAAAATGTGATTAAGCAATAACTCAAACAATTTGAACGTGGGATGTGGGGTTTAAGGGACCCACCGAAGAATACGGCAGATGTAGACATTAGCACCATTACGACCAACGTGATTCACCCTTTATTTTGTTTTTTTTTTTCATTCCGTGTTTGATATTTGTATTGAGATTCGACTAAATTTAGATCTATCAAAAAGTTTCATATTATGAGGTAAATTGTTCTCTAATAAAGATAATTTCATATCCTAGAGTTTGATCGTAACTCGTGAGATTTTTTATTAAGAATAAAAGAGTGTGTTCTACGCTCTTTAATTTTCTTTTATTTCTCTCCCGATGTTCGATGCTTATATTAAGATTGAATTAAACTTAGATCAGCGCCAAGAAGTTAGCGGAAAAAATGCTCTCTAATAAAAATGACTCTATATTAAAGATTTTAATTTTGAAGCTTTGTATTAAGGATGAAAGAATATTTATACCTCCACGATGGTTGATAATAACTTTAAATAATATTTCATTAATTGTTAAGTTGATCCCCATTATTAATTGCTTTAAAGATATATGGAATATCGTAATTTTAATTGTTTTGAGACCTGACTAATTCAATTTTTATTTGCATTATAATTATAATTACCTTGTTATATTGAAATTATATTTTCTTGTACTTCAAATCAAATGATCTTTAAAAAAAGTTTACACAAACCAAAATAATTAACATGTCATTTAATTTAATATCCATATAGAAAACCTCCTTTCTTCGTGGGAGGAGGAACTAAAAATAAAAAATAAAAAGTAAAGATCCTTTTATATATTTATTTTAGCTTCATCTCACAAGAAAAGATTGATAAAATCAAAATGATTACTTTCAAAGATACAATCAAAGAAAAAAATTGATAATTGAATTCCCCATTAGTCAATAATACATCAATAAATTAATTCTCATTTGTCATCTCTTCACATTTTTCATCAACCAAAAAGAAAAAAAAGTTTTTTTTTGGGTTTAAAGATTACAACTATTAATTTTTCTCCTTAGGCAAATATAAGCTAAAAATCTATAAATAATAGCCATTGCTAATAAAACCCAAACTTCTTTTAATCCACCATTTAATCCAACTGTGTCAAATGAAGGAGAACTTTGAAGAGTTCTACAACCCTCTTTGCTTTCACAATTATATAAATCATCTCCTGAATATTGCACTTTTAATAATAGCCTAAATCCATAGTACATGAATGATAAGTACTTTAGCCACCTCATGAATTTTGGTATATGCTACAAAAAGAAAAAAAGTCAATTTCATCAGTGGCGGAGTCAGAAATTTTATTAAAGATGTTCGAAATATAAAGAAGTAAACATAGAAAGAAACCAGCGATTCAATTGATTATACAACAACAACATACCCAGTGTAATCCTATAACAGTAGAGTGGTATACCCCTACCTTGATAGACCTCAACTTAAGGAAAAACATAAATAATGGAAATGAAGAAATCATGGCAAAATACTACAGAAAGTATGACAAAGTATTCTAAAAAAATAACAGTAACTACAACAAAATAGTGCGATAATCGAAGTACAAGAGAGAGTAGATAGTAACAAAAATCGAAGGACAAGAAATTACAAGAGAAATACTATGACTACTAGTATGGAAGGATAAACAAGACAACAATCTATTACCTACTAACCTTCTACCCTAATCCGTGTCCTCCACACCCTCTTATATAAGAACATACCTTCATTGGATGTTAATAAAAGAAAAACTTTTTCAACCTAGACATAGCATGTTCTTTTTTGGGACACATAGACTATTACAAACGTAAATTCGTAGTTTCTAAATTACAATAGATTGAACAGTAAGAAATAAAGGTCGAACTCATCAAATTTAATTCACAATAGTTATTACTAGCTGTTTGCAAAACTATTTTTATTTTATCAAAGAAGACATTGTTTTGGAAAATGTTGACACTCCACTTTGTTGGGCTTCATTTGTTATTAACATATGACAAAAGAAGTATCACCAAGTTAACTTGAGTAGGATTCTTGGTTTCAACTTTTCTTAGCATGAATAATAATGTTATAAGTACTATTACTCGAACTCTTTAAAAATGTCGACTGGTGCTTGTGAGATCCTCCAAAAGTAGTGCATTTTGGAGAATCCGACATGGTGCAGCTACATTTTTGGAGGGTCCGAGCAACATAGCTATTTTCTAATTTGGTTACCTGAACATAGTAACCTCCAGTGAGAAGAAACAACATCAATATCAGTGAAGCAACCATCCCAGCCCTTCTAATACTCATAACTGCAGCTCCAAACAGCTCTCCAGCTCCCTATAACAAGAAAAAACATTCATATTTTCCAAAACAATTGAGTACAACGTTTTCAGTTCGCGAAAAAAAATTGGACTTACCTGGCTAGTTATCGCTATTAATAGTGTTGCAGCCAACGTAAGAAAGAAGCATTGGACGGTCCTCTTGAAGCCAGCCATGAAATACACAATGCACATGAAAAACGTCGGATACAAAATGTGTGCTACCATGTCACACAATGTGCTGCAGACATAATAGACACTTAGTCTATACATGTCTGCTTTCCTTTCCTTCACCAAATACATCTTCTCGAATGGGAAAACATACACTGCTCCGAAAATTGAAGAGGAAGTCCAGAAGATACAGATGTAGAACATTAAACCAATCTGCAATGAAGGTATAAGTTTTAACTTTCTTGAAAATACTACAAGGAGAGAAAAATGTAAGATCAGGATTTTGCCTGATCGCGTAGTTGAGCTTCAGTTGCAGTTGAGGATTTCCACCAAAGAAGTCCGAGCAGTAGTGCAACTCCAACAGATTGAACTAACCGGAGCTTGTCAAAATAGTCTCTGCATCTCTCCCTGTATGTTCGCTTTGACAGTACCCTGAATTGTTCCCACCAGGATATAGTCCAATCTTTCCTTACTTTAACTGCCATTTGTAGATGCTCTGGTGCTTTCGACCCTTGATGATTCTCTTTCGGCTCCAACAGGACTTTGTACTTGTGTTGCAGATACTAATGTTCATAGACATAATTTCTGTGAAAGTATGTCCCATAAAGAGCTTTCAAGTAAACTAAACGAAACACGTTAAATCAGAACAAGTACAAATGAGAATCATACTCTGATGACAATCTTCTCTCGTTCGTTAGTGACTTGAGGTGGATACAGATCATCAGGAACACTGATATCATTTACTTGTCCTGTTGCTAAATCCAGCAGGAACTCTGCTGGATTCATGGCTATTTCCGGGATGAAACCTAGAGACGAAAAGTACTCCATCGAATCCCCCGCCTTACCATAGTAAACCGGATAACCTTCTGCTATCAACAGAATTTTTTCAAACATGTGGAAAATCCTGCTTGAAGGCTGGTGAATTGTTGTTATGATTGTCTTTCCCATCTGATGAACAAAATGTATTAGCATTTGGCTAACTTGTTCCAGAGTAAAAAGAATGGTTTACTCCCTCCGTTTCAGTTTGTTTGTCTGGTTTTGACTTGGAACGGATTTTAAGAATGTAAAGAAGTCTTTGGAATCTTGTGATCTTAAGCTAAAGATACGTAGAATGTACCAGAATGAACTTTAATTTTGTAGTCTTAAACATGTCACGTGGAAAGTTAGAATTACAGAGTTGCATAAAAAGAAAGTGACATTCTTTTTGAAACGGATGAAAAAGGAAAGCAAGACAAACAAATTGAAACAGAGAGAGTAGCAAATAGTGAAAATATGGTTGAAGTGTTTACTTTAGCAAGCCCTTGAAGAACCTGAAGTAGTCTATTTGCAGAGGTCGAATCAAGGCCTGAAGTTGGTTCATCGAGCAAGAGAAGAGAAGGATCAACAAGGATTTCATGACCTATGCTAGCTCTTTTTCTTTCTCCACCGGAAACACCTTTAACAAGTCCTCCACCTATTCTTGTGTGACGACATCTACAATTGTGAAATTCACGAGTGAACAGTTGCAACGATAGTTGCTTTTAGTGAGTATTGAAGTTCATGAAAGGCAGAAATGGTAACAAACGTACCTTTCAAGGCCTAATTCCTTAATAATCACTTCTACTCTTTCATACTTCTGACGTCGACTCATCTTGCATGGAAGTCTTAAGAATGCAGCAAAAACTAAAGTTTCCTCAACCGTCAATTGTGGAAAAAGCACATCATCTTGTGTCACGAAACCCACCCTAGACATAAGCACATATCGCAAACTGAAGTTAATACAAGTCCATGTACACTGAAAGAAAAACTTGTATCTACTCTCTGGTTTAAGACAGCAAATAAAAGGAGGCAATTTTTTCTCTATTGATGGATAGGTACCACCTTCTTTTAAGAGCTGGATTATATGGAATGTCATTGTAAGTGACGGTTCCTTTGACATTTTCGTGCAATCTTCCACCCAATATCTTTAACAAAGTCGTTTTTCCACTGCCCGAAGGTCCCATTAAGGCAAGAATTTCACCCGGACTAATGCTTCCCGTTATACCCTTGAGTATATGTTTGTAATTATCATGTTCAAACTGAGAAGCTACCTTTGAGACAACTGCCTTGACAGGATTGTTGGAGAACGCTTGGTTAGCCTTCACCTTGTACTCTACATTTGCAAACTGCATACAAAACCATTCACATTACAGAAGCCACGACTCGTAAGCATATATCATGAAATTTAGTGATGCCAAATGGGGCGGTGCAGATCAGAGCAGGTGAAGCCTTCGCGAGGCCACTAGTTTGACATGTCCTGCCCTGCCCCGTTTAACATTAAGAAGAAAAAGTACCTTGAGGAATATGGGAAGAGGTTGATCTATATGAGCGATAGACGTATCATGTTCAACTTCTATATCAATTTCGGAGCTTCTGTTTCTAAGATAAGCTTGAGACATGAACTCTATGTTATGTCCAAAACCATTACTTCCAGCAATCTGCATTGAGCCAACAGTTGGAAGGGACAACGACAAGTCCTCGATTTCATCTTGTGCCACATGCTCCATTGTATCATAAAAAGGAAAATTTGTATCTTCTTTACAAAGTTCATGACAATTATATATGGTAAGATAAGTTGAGGAACAAAACTAGAATTTTGCCTAAAATCTTGAAACTTGTTGAAACACATGCTTTCTATTGAAACCTACTAGATATACTTTGGTTGGTGATCTTTATGCATTGTATGATCTTTGAGGTCAATTTCTAGTTATGGCAGCACAACCTTGTTGCTCTTTCACCTATTATTATTACTAGTTTCTGGCAACGTGCGTTGCACGTTTATCCCTTACTATTGTTATATAATTTAAAAATGTGTTATCAAATAGAAAATGCTTAAATCAACAATATTAATTTTACCAATTACATTTCATGTATTAAATAAAATACATAAAAAGGGATTGAGCATTTGGCATCAAGCAAGAAGTATGTGAAATCAATTAAGATAATATAGTCTCTTAACTCTGTGTCACTGTGTGTGAGTCTTTTTTATGATCTAAATATCATTGATAACCTTTTATAGCCATGAATGGATAAAAAAAATCATGCAGGCTTATTGACAAGATTGCCTATTTTATTTTAATGAGAAACGGAGCATGAAATATTGTATTATTTAAGTAATGTTCTAGAATTAAAAGGCTAATCAAAGAATACATGAAGATACACTTTCAAAATTTTACAAGATTAAAAAGCAATTACATCCAAAATATAAAAGTAACAGATAAAGAATTAACAAACTGGACTTCATACATACAACTATTTCAAAAGCTCATAATAATAGCTAAAAGATCACAACACCACAATGAGTTCATTAGAAATGCAAAAGAAATTATAAAAAA